GCTGGAAAAGTTGCAGGTAACTTTTGCCGCTGTCAAAGTGACAATTGCACTGCGGCTTATGCGATTTTTTATACATGAGTTGAATTGTCGCTGAAATACCACACGTGAAATTATCACTATAATTCGTTCCCATTGGCTCAACAATTTGAAATGTCGACATTTCACTGGTCGAAATGTGACAAATGTTAGATGAATTGAATTGTCAATATAATTTCTCCATAGATCAAAAATCGCCCCAGACCCCAAAATTGCGAACCTCTTATCAGTAGTAGTACTGTCATCAAACTGAGGGCCAAAAAAGTATGTATAGACAAAGAGTACGAGCAGCTTTCTAATGGCCTATATTTTTTTTTTACTAAAAATCAATATTATATATGTTTATACAGGGTGTTACAAAAATTATGGACTGACTATATGCAGCTGGATTTTACAACTAAATTATGAAAAAAGGTTAAAAACATCCCTAAAGTGGCTCGTTTCCGAATGTGAGATGAGGGTCAAAAAGTCCCCCTACTGAAAATTATATGGGATTCTTCGTATTTAGAGTTGTGAATAAAAACATGAAAAACTTCCAGTAGCTGTAGCTCAGTAACGAGCCACTTTAGCAGATATGTTTCTTTAAAAATTTTTCTTATTTTTAGTCATAGAAGCATATAGTTAGCCCACAATTTTTGTAACGCCTTGTATACCTTATACTTAAATTATTGGCTTAAAATGTTTCAATCACCGCCAAATTTCTTAAGGAAAAGGCTTTCTACTCTGTTGAGGAATTCCTTAAGATTACAATACCTACCTTAATTAATTACTAATTAGATGTAGTTACCCTTAATGTATTATGTTTGTTGTTTTGACTAGTGCAAGTATTATTTTGTTTTGCAAAACACGTAATATATTATCATTATTATTATTATTACCTTAACATACCTAATATTCTAATAAGCCCATACCGTTTGTTGGTAGATATACAGCGAATTGATTTAATGTGTGATGTCGTAATGAATCATTAAAAGTTGATCCGCGCCAATAAAAAGGGGCATCAGGAGTGACCATAAAAATTACACTTTCCACAATAATTCCACAAAAATATAAAGGTTTGTTATGTTATAAGTAGATGACGATAAAAAAACAGCTGTTTACATTATTAACGAGGTCCTAGCGAGTTCATAATTTGGCGGTATCTGTCGTCTGTTCGTTAGCACGATATCTCGAAAACGTATGGACCGATTAGGATGAAATTTTGTAGGTGGATTCCTAATCAAATTTGTAAATTGGAGTTCATGAATTGGCAATGTAGGCCAAAAAAACCAAGGCGCCTTTGACATCTCCGTTAGTTATGAACCGAATTGCATGAAATTCAAAATGAGCATAGGTTTAGCCATATAATACGCAATGTCAAGCTATAATATATACCCAGGAGCTCGTTTGCTATATTTGTTTAATTTATTTGCAGCGAGCATTTTTAAGGAAACACTTTTTAGGGTTGAAGAAACAGCAAAAACATCTTCAGCAAAGTTCACCTGATAATGGCCACAAATGCGTACCAATCGAACAGTAGATTTTGTAGCGGTTGCAGTATCTGCCCTTTCCAATTTTGAAAATATTCAATATAACTTTGGGTTGATTTTGGAACCGAATAATTATGGGCCAATAGGCATCAATAGGACCTATGTCTTCATTTATCACAGGAGCAAGCACGAAAGGAGCTTGGAAGGATGGCATATTCTCTTTTGAGCAGCTGCTAATGGAAAGACCTCCAGATGAAGGTATCATGCGTCCCGTACAAAAGTTTGTAATTCTTTTGTATGATGCCCCATCTCCATGAAACACAGTTAATGAGTGTAGTGTAGACGGTTCCTTTTTATTAAAAAAAAGTAGAGCAATTGAGAATACACCTCCGCTCCGACGCAAAATCCTGTTCAACATATCAAGCGAGCCACTTGTCAAACTCTTATATGGAAGCACTGTCTGGAAAAGACTATCAACCTCCTTCCCCCCACACTTGCATGCAAAATTGTCGATGTAAAACAATTTTTTATTCAAATGTTTCACAACAAACTTGTGTTTTCGTACCCCTCACTTGATGACGTCATTACTGGGGTTGGGGAGTCGGAAATTTTTGGGGTCTGAGGGTTTTTTAAATCTTTGGCCTATACAGACGTGCAGTGTGATTGATTTTGCGTGTCAGAGCGTATAGTTGTTTTACTATTGGAGATAGCAAAAAAGTGTAAGAAGCAAAAATACTCTACTTTCAATTTCTGATAAAGCTACATATTAAAAAAAACAAGTGATATAAAAACAAAAGAGCCTCAGAAAACAAATGAATTTGTTTAAATAGAACGATTACCGGGACGATTACTTTTTTCTGTAATCTTCTTAAAGAGCTTGAAATTCTCTTTGCAATGATATCAAATATGTTATAATTACTTTGGAAATTAAAGCTACATTAATGTGTTTAGAACCAATCGCAGTAGCTGTGGAAATTTAAACAAAAACATAAAATTATAACAGGCAGCGAAGAAAAGTTACAGGAATAATTATTATAACTTAAGACCAATTTAAACACATTAGACTTGATTCTTATGTATTATCATTACACATTTGACATTACATTACACCTCTTAACACTTATCATCATTTGTGTAATTATTATTTTGTTGCATTGTGGTTCTTATGAGATATTTTGTTTACTAAATTAATTTTGTGACAGATATGACAAGTAAAAAACTCTCTTTTGTTTATGTTTAAATTTCGACAGTTACTCCGATTGGTTTTAAAAACATTACTGCACATTTAATTTCTAAGGAAGTCACTTGTTTTGGCATTGGAAATGGGAAATGCTTATGTTTTGTATGGGTATGAAGCAGGTTTGCCGAGCAGAAAAGAAGACAAGTGGTGTCGCGTCTAGTGTTGATTGTACCGTACTCGACTGCAATCGGTAGATTCAGGAAAAGTCGCGGATACTGTCAATACGGTACTAACTTAACAGTGCGCAGGGGTTTTATTAATTCGAATTTAAAATTCTTGCACATCGCCTGTGATAGTATTACAAGCATGTGACGCCGCTTATTATTCAGAAAGTTTATGTTTGCGACGCGAGCGAGCTTGCGAGCGAGTGGAGCAAGATTATTCCGTGTGAATAAGGGTTATTTATGGCTTTATAGGTTATACGGTTATCATTTCCAATGTCTCCGATGGTTGCAAGAATTGCGAAATCTGTGATTTTTTTTAATATGTACCTACCCTTATCAGAATTAAAAATAGAGTACTTACTACTTTTCTTCTTACACTGTTTCCCTACCCCCAATAATAAAAGGAATCCGCTTGGACACGTAAAATCAATGACACTGTATGTGCTACTAAGTTCATGTTCTTGTCATAATATCTCTCCTTATTTGGAAGTATAAGTTCGTCGTATTTGTATTTACCGAGGTATTTGCATAAATACGTGACAAAACATTAATAAATTGTTATTCCGGTACACTACACATCATATCATGATGTCATGGAAGGTATTATGTAATAATCTTACTATATGCTCGATAGTTTTAACTACATCAACAGATAAGACCATCACAATATCATAATAGCTTATCGAGTATATCGGCTTTTCCGAGCCGTGCTTTTGGAAAGCGATAACGTTGCTTTGTTGTGGAATACAACGAGAGGCAAAGTGTTACTTTAAATGCTTTTAATAAAATCGATTACATATGTAAGGTCAATAACGATAAATGAAGTTCATTACTGTGAAAGTTTGAATGCAATGCCTATACTACCTATGAAAGAATCAACACAAGTCGATTTCTCCGACACATTTGAAAGGTATCACTGAAACTAGTACCATAAGAAAGAAAATGCTGCAAGTCTGCAACCTGAACGATCCATTCCAATTTCACCTAACTACGTATAATAGTGAACAAAATATATATAAATATATTGTGTGATGATAACTGTAATAAATTCTTTAGTTAATATTAACCAATTGCAATCCCGTTATTATAATAATACAGCACTTTCGTTTAATGCAAAGGCACTAAGCACAAAAATACGGAATATGCGCTACATCACCTAACTAAATAAACCTTCATCCAAATTATAAAGGCCATAATTGTTGATGGACATCTATTCAATAGACACAGCTGTGTTGGATTTTAAAGGCATTACATAATACGGACGTATTGAATACCAGAACATTTCAAAGATTCGCAGGATGAATAGTTTATATGAACAGTTAAAATAGTTTGAATTAAGAGCGAGGGCTACTTCATTACGGGTTATTTTCTTATTTCTTATCACGACTGAATTTTGTGTTATCATCACATCAGTTGTTAAACATGTCTGATAAACTTGATTGCCTTAAGCAATTTATTAGCCTTGAATGTATAGGCACTTTTCAAATCACCAAAACCATTACGGTTACAAACCAACTAACGTAAGGGTTAAGAAACAACATATAATTAGGAAATCAAGGCCATTTTAATTGGCGAAAAGATAAGGGCACCGCCACACCGGAAGAGTTGCAATAACGTCAATCAGTGCGGGTTTTCCTTTCAGCACTCGGAAGTCAATTACCAAAACACAATGACTTTTTTTACTTGCGGTTTAGCAATCGGTATTGATTCGGTCTCTGATAAATTTGCGAGGGCAAGGCAATACTCCCAATTCACCGACCAAAAACTCACGCAATAAAATTCTCTTTAAGATCTTTCCATGGCCATTAATTTCACACCATACTTGTTACGCACAATTTCAATTAATTTTCGACAAAACAAACGAAATTGTAATCGGACTTACGTAACGCACAAATCTTATCAAGTGCACGAAAATACATTTCAAAAAACAAACTGAATCTGAACCTCAAAATACAGGCCAACGATAAAGCATCCCCAAGTTTTAAAAGCGGGATAATTTGAAAGTCGATTAAAGAACGATACGAAACGATGAATAGATATTTTAATTGCAAGGTCATACAAAATAATGTAAAGTGTAATAAAACCACTTACCAGATTTACGTTTTTCGTTTAAAACCAAGGATTTAGTCCTTTTAACTCGTAATGATCTACGCCTGATAGAGCGTAAAAATGATTCAGGCATACGTTGGCGGGGATTCTCGGCAATTTTCTTCTCGGGAAGTAACCAATTTTTCACGGCGGTCATCGACAGTCCGTGTTTTGATTTTTTTGGTGTAGCAACTGGATCACTTTTTAAATCGACCATTTTCGCGAATTTCACTTTCCTAATTTCACTTTTATTTATTCGGTTTTTAAAAAATCGCGCGCGTATATACAGAGAGGTACATTATATTGAAAGTTGTAGTAAATAGAAGGCATGAACTATCCGTAGAAGGGACGATTCCCCACCAGTTCCGTAGGAACCGCGTGGATAGCATATTGCGCGCACACTCTCTTTACACGTTGTTCACGTACGTAGAAAAAGCTTTATCAAAATTACTTGCAATCGACAAAGGTTGCGAATCTCGTGTTTTTCTATATTTGAGCTGGAGGTTAAAAAATAACAAATTTGAATAAACGCAAGGTAACGTCACGATGCTAAATCGCTAAATCTAATTATTATGACGTTAAATTCAACGTAGGTATTTGGGTAATATACCATACCTACTAAAATACTTTCTAGTTTCGTGCTTTAGGTGTAGGGTGTAGGTGATTAATGATGATGTTTTTGTAATACATGTTCGTTGAAGTTGAAGTATCAATAACATAATATCACATTGCCAGAGAAATCATTTAAACGACCTATGGTGGTTATTATTTTATTATATCTACTTGTATTATAACATTTCTTTATGCCAAAAGAGTAAATATTATCAAGATTTTAATTAATTATTTCTCAAGCTTTATATGAAATTTTATATTGAATGTAATATGGGAATTGGACGTAAATCATCAATGATCAGAGAATTTTTGAATTTCGACCACTTATTAAATGAGATCAACTGAAGTCAGGTTGAACCATTGTGGCATAACCGGCTCTAAACGTTTTTAAACGAAATTTATGATTCGCCGGGTCCTCAACAATGTTATGTGTACAGAATGGTTTAAATTCTTTGATTACCTTGGCATCTCCGTAAGGGTGAGAGATTCGGTGTAAGTTAAATGGGAGTTGCTCCTTTTTGAGACGAAAAAATTTCTGTAAAATCTTTAAAAATAACCGAGATATCATCGAATAACTGAAACTGTCAAATTTCGTTTACATTTTCCCTAGCTTAAACGGCCGGAAATAAACGGTTCCCGTTAGCAACTTCTAGGGACACTTTCTTTCGAAGACTGAATCTGATATTAGAATTTCCACAACAGCTAGATGTAGACGCTACAGAGTACAGGCTACTACTGTCTTATTTGTTATAGGCGCCATATTGAATTTTTACGGAATGAGATAGACACAACATCACCGAGTAACTAGATCATGTTCAATCGACATGGTTATGACGGCACTGTATTCAAATGAATTTCTTTTTTGTCCTCTATCGCATTCCGTAAAAATCCAATATGGCGTCCATTAGAAATAAGAGAGAGTACCCTATAGCTGCTAGATCTAGCGTCTTATTGAATTTCTGATAATAAACTCAGATTCTCCGAAAAAAATGACCAAACCCCATACAACTTAGAAGGCGCCAACGATGATATCACGGTTATTTTCGAACACTGTTTCGTTCACCGTTCACCGAATTAATCAATACACAGTTGCACAAGTATTGCTTTATTATGCATCACTGATAAAAAATAAATCACAACTTTATGTATGATAGATAATGGCCGAAAAACGAAATAAACAAAATACTACATATACTCGTAATTCTACACATTGAACTGTAAATGTGTAAACTGAAAAGTTATAGATATATTGCGTGTGCCCCACGTTGGGCGCCACAAAAGAATGATGTGTGCACTGATCCGTAGATTTAATCTTAACACACAAATGGAAAATACAAAAACGCAAACAATTGTTACAAAAAGGCTAAAATCATTAGTTTTCTACTTACATTACTTGTCCAGGAATTGGAATATCCAAATAAAAGGTGTCCGTACACAGTTCACAAAAAAATGTTCAATGAACACAAATGACATTTTACACTAACGACATCGGGTAATCGCAGCATCTTCTCTTCGGGTTGAGAAGGACGTTCCCAATGAAACTCAACTTCAAACTGAGTCACGTTGAAAACAAACTTGGGAAACGCCGACAAACACCTCTCCTTGCGGTACCTTTGACGGCCAAGACTACGACAATCCTCCAGCCGGTAAGATAAAAAAAAACTTCGGCGTTGCAAACAAACGTAGAACAATAAATTGTTTTTAAAAGGACCGGTAGAAAAAGAGAAATGCTACTAACAGCGTTAGTTAAAAATGCCATCAGTAACGAAAATAAACCGATACAACGAAATATCGAAGGATCCTCAGTATTACAATCACTTTTAACGACAATTTTTTTTCATCTTACAAAATATATCAAATTAATGTCTTGGGTATTGAGATAATGCTCTTGGTCTTTTTTCCAACGATCTTGGTGCATAAATAACGATTTTGACATGTTTTGATCAAAATCCACGTGGTCGCCAAAAATCCATCAAATTTATGTCTTGTTCATTGAAATTATGCTCTTAGTTCTTTCCAAACGATCTTGGTGCATAAATTTTTGACAGGTTTTGATCAAAATCCACATGGCCTCAGATTTCAGAAAAAGAATTGAACATCTTTGAATCACACACAGGCGCGGTTATCAAATGTGCATGTGATGTACTCTTTCAGCATCAAGATAATGCGTTTGAAAGCTTTTACAACTCCAAATTGTGTAAACGTAAAGAATAATTTTTGGTTCATTTTGCTCTAAAACTTTTGACCTAGACCACAGAGAAGACTTATATTGAGTTGTTACACATCTAAGAGTCATAGGGAATAATCTAGCGAAAGCGAAGCCAACTCGATACATCACCTAGGGAACGAAATATGTTGATTTCTATTATATTGAGTCCGCAGTTTTTCCTGTTCCCGAGTCACTCGAAGTCCTATAACTTTTATTCCTGTTGAATCAGCTTCCTGGAAATCAATAGCGCCCGTCCTTAATGTCCAAAGTAGCCGTCGAGGTAGCCGTACACCAAATTTCAACACAATTGGTCACTTTTAAAAAGAGTAATAACGCACACGGACGGACGGACGGACGACAATACAAAACTAAATACGTTTGTATTTATATAATTGATGATTTATAGAGTATAAAAGATACAGGATGCCGGTTACTTTATGGGTTGTACCATCGGTTGTACCCAGGGTTAACATATGATTACATCTAACTTCCCATAACCGATAGAGACTAACCATTTTTCATCGCACGGCTCACTTGAATGCTCTGAATTTGAAAAATTTGAAATTTCTGATACTAATGTACATAAAAAATATGATTTACTACGTTTCTAATTCTAATCAAAGGAAATGTTTACAAAAAAGATATTATTTCTATCTACACTTACAGAAAAATTGCTGTATCATTTTATCCACAAAGTTACCATAATTACGCAAAACGTAATGTTTGCGAAATTTTATACATAAGGTTACTACTTGTAGCCAATGCTGTCACTGCATCTATATGAGTACTTATGATAATAATAGTGGCAGGATTTCTTCCACGATTTTAGGATTGATGTCATTAATTAATAAAATATCAAGATCGAAAATAAATCGAAAAACAGGAAAACTTCTAATGCCATAATGATTTTTCGATTATCGTAGTAAACCAAGTATGATTTCTGGACTGAGTACAATGATAATGGACGGCTATATAAATTACCTACAGTAAACGGAAATTTTGTCAATCCCTCTTTCACCATTAGCTTAACAGTCTAGAACGGAATCTAAATGTCCACATTCGGATTACGGCAGGAAATTAAAAAGTATAGGCGTTCTATGAATCACGGCAATGTAAATTAGCAGCTGTCTTCTCTACGGTTGAATGTTACCTCTAGCTGCAATATGCATTTCAAACCGATTAGAATTGCAAATACACAGACAAAAGTTATAGAAATCCATATCAGCAAGACTTTTTTACACAGGTACAGGTAAGTTTACGCTTTTCATTAAATTCTTATGCAAGTGCGCAGATACACAGAATGCACTGCAATTTGCAGATTGGGTGCAAAGAATTAGAAATTATGGCGTACTTACTTTAACGATATTCGATAACAATGACAAACTAAAAAGGATATAAAATAAATGTCATTAAATAAAAGAAATGTTGGTTTTATCTTTTTCCATTTAGATACAATTAGTATGGACATTGTACGAGGACATTCCTACATATTAGTTGAGTTATTTATGTTTTTTTAGTGTTGGGATACTAATTTTTTTCTTGAAATGTGGATAGTAATCCTAATAACTAGCTATTAGATGGGGATAACAGAGTAAACTGCTCTGGAATCGGAAATGATATCGTGTAGACGTGTACCTTTCTTGGAGGCGACGGTGGCGGTGAGAAAATGAAACTAAGGAGTTGTGGAATATCCCAGAAAGCTCAAAAAGCTGGTGGTTGTGGTGGAGAAATGACAGTGTACAGTAAATGCGATGTCGTCGTTCGGATAGCCAAGCAGTACCTAAAGTCACATTCTTTAAAAATGTTAAGTAGAAAGTCAAGTTTGACATTTCTGCTTTTGGAACTAAGAGCATGTAAAGCAAAAAGGCATAGGGAATTAATACACTTAAAATAAAGACATACTCAGTGAGAAATGAAATTGCAGTAGCGGAAAAATCTCAAGCAGTGCATACTTCATCTTTATACTGTCTATATAGTTAGCAGTGGAGACATTTTTCGTAACTTCGATGATACAATTCTTACCTACAGTTTCATGCAGCATGCACTCCAGTAGATGAATGAATGAATGAATTTTGGTGTCTAAAAGCATTTTTCATTTCATTTCATATAGAGAGCACGGATTGTTTGCCGTTCCGCGGTTTTCAAATCAATTGTTAAATACATTGCCTATGTAATTGACGTTTTGTAAGATATCGAAAAAAGAGTACGTATTTCAAATTTCAACGTGGAAACTTCAAATTATACAGTTTAACATTTACATGTTTGCAAGCGGTAGTGCATACTGTTTCCCGTTCCATTAATTTGGTTGATTAAATATAAAAAACGCGGTCACGGACATTAAAAGTTTAAATTATTGTATTGTGTCAAGCCATCAAATTAGTACAGCGCAGCGGCAGGAAAAGCTACAAACAGTTTTAAAAAGAGGGTTGCGTTTAGGGGTGTTTGTAATTAGGGAATAGGGATCGCGTATTAAGTCACGAATCGACAGTATTTAGCATATTAGTTACGACGATGTCTAAGTTCATCTT